CCCAGGGCCCTGGCGCAGGTGCTGAGAAGCGCCAGTTCCCTGCACGTGTCCAGTCTGTCGCCGGCCCAGCAGCACGGCATCCTCAGCAAGGTGAGAGGGGCCATGCCTAGCTGTGTGCTCACAGCATGTGGTTTGGGGTCTGTGAGGGGCGGGGTTTGCCCAGCCTCCGGGGAGGGGTTCCGAGCCGGGAGAAGCTTCTTCCGCTGCCACCTCCCCTCCCTCCAGAGAGCCCGGCTGGCCGTGTTGTACTTCTTCCCAGACCCCGCTGCCCTCCCAAGCGCAGCACCTGGGAGACGCTTCTTAACCTAGGCTTCTGGATAGAATAACACGTGAGAGTTGAGTTTCCAGTCTCAAAGTGACCTGAAGTCCCGCGTGCTTCCCAGAGCCTTCAGGCTTCAAAGTCAGCCAGTTCCTCCTCCTCGCTCAGCAGGGGCCTCTGGGGGCACCCTCTTCCCTCAGACTGGCCTTTTCCAATCGCAAAATCTGTTCGAAACCAAACACAAGAGATCTGCCCCCACGTCAACACCTGGCACAGCAGAGCACTGATCGTTAAAATAAGGAGCGCAGGCTTTGAGATAAGACAGACTTGGGCCTGAATCTCACTATCAACCAATTTCTCACTAAGCCTCAGTTTTCTTGGCTGTAAAATGGGGGCAGTGATCGTTCCCAGCAAGTGGGATGGATTTTGTGCTGGGAGGCACTTGGCACGGTGCCTGGCCTGTCCCCAAAGCTCAGCGACTGTCAGTGAGGGAGTGTCCTCTCACTCTGCAGGTGGCCGGAGCCGGAGGCGGCGCCCCGGGTGCCGTGGACGTCCCGGGGGCTTTCTTTAAGGAAGTGTCTCTCTTCGATTTAAGGAGGGAACTCGGACTCAACTCCACTGTCCTACAGGAGAAGGAGCTGCGGAGGAGTCAGGTACCAGTGCTGAGGCCAGACACCAGTTCCCGGTGTGTTCGAGGGGTCCCCACCCAGCAACCCCACCAGCAAGGCCTTCCCAGCACTGGCTGGGGGGGGGGGCGGTCCTAGATGACCTCAGCTCTACACTAGCTGCCAGGGAGCAGGACCCCGGGGAAGGGCTGGGTCCCACAGACTGTCCCGCTGCAGCTGCCGGGCGCTGTCCAGCGGCACCAGTGCTGCCGCCCGCCTGCTGTAGGCGGGGCTCCGGCCACCCCTCCGTGGATTTGGTTAATTTGCTGGAGCGGCTCCCAGAACTCAGAGCAGCTCTTTATTCACTGGGTCACTGGTTTTTAGGAAAGGATGGACCAGCCTGTGGGGGAGAGAGAGGCGGAGCAGAGCGTGGGGAGGGGCGGAGCTTCCCTGCGTCTCCCGGTGCCGCTCTCCCCGGTCCTTCCCACCCCCCCCAAGCGCTCAGAACCCTGCCCTTTGGGTGTCCATGGAGGCGTCATCGCACAGGCGTGATTGATGAGCTCCCTGGCCAGCGGCCATTGATCTTCTAGCCCCCTCCCTCCCTGGAGGTCCGGGTCGGCCTGAAAGTCCCACCTCCTGATCACACAGTCGCTTCCCCGCCTTTGCTTGCTGGGATGCCCTGTGTCCAGGAACTAGCAGGTGGGCCTGGACAACGCGTAGGAAGGGAGCGGCGGCCCTGCTCCCTGCAGCGGGCTCTCCCTCCTGCACACCTCTGGCCTGGGGTGGGAGCCTGGCCTGCCACCCGCTCACCTCCCAGCTCTGCCACTTAGCAACTGTGTGGCCCTGGGCAAGTCACAGCCTGGGAAGCCTCTATCTTCCCATCTGTAAAATGGGTCGTGGTGTGCCCTCCCCACAGGGCTTCCGGGTGCTGGGCCCACCACATGCTTGTCTCGGTGAATGCCCCCCCCCCAAGCTGGCATTGTTCTCTCCCCCCAGGCCTTGTTCCTGTATGAGCTGCTGTCCCAGACCAGCAGGCCTGCCGAGCTCCTGAGGTAGGGGAAGGGGAGCGCAGCTCGCCAGCTCGTTGGAGCCTAATTTCCCTGCAGGGAGAGTTGGACAGTCCCTTCTGTGGCCCATGCCAGGTGGGCTATGCCTTCTCCTTCTCCCCCTTCCCTGTCTTACCCACCGCTCTTCCCCGCCCCTGTCTTGTTCTCTAGTGCAGGGCAGCTGGTCAAAGGCGTGGCGTGCTCCCACATCGACGCCATGGGCGCCGACTCCTTCCTGGCCCACTTCCAGTATTTTGAGAACAACCTCTCTCTGCTTTCACCGTATCAGGTACTTTTCTGCTTCTGCTCCTCTCTTTCTACCCAAGGAGCCGACCCTGCATTGTCTGGCTCTGAAGCTATTGATGCCGGCAATATTCTGTGCAGATGATGGTGAGGGGCCAAATACTGAGCCAGGCTTTCTCCAGTTTCTTTCCTTTTTAAGAAAAGTACGTTTTTATTGATTTCAGAGAGGAAGGGAGAGGGAGGTGGAAACATCAATGATGAGAGAGAATCATTGATCGGCTGCCTCCTGCACACTTGCTTCTGGGAATGGAGCCCACAACCCGGGCATGTGCCCAGGAATCGAACTGTGACCTCCTGGCTCATAGGTCGACGCTCAACCCCTGAGCCACGCCGGCCGGGCTCCAGTTTCGTTCTTAGATGCTCCGAATGCCCCTGCCTTCAAAGCCAGAGTTGCCACAGGTTGGTTATTTCACACTCTGCCCTGAGCCTTGAAACACCCCTGGAAGGCGCAGCGTCGCATGTTCACAGTTACGTCCCGAGACCGAAGGCCGTGCCGTCAGCCACGTGCTACCCGGCCAGGGAGGGGCCAGGACAGACGCTGCTCCAAGGGCTTTTCTTTCTCACTTAACACTTCCTTCTCCACATGGTCACGGACACTCTTCCACGCCGGGGGGAGACCCGCGGTGCCTGCGTTGACGCGCTGAGCGCTCCGAGGAGAGAGAGAAGGTCTCATGTGACATGCTGGTCTCACACAAACAAAACACAAGGATGCAGGGACACTGCTGGGCATGTCTTTGGCCTTGACTGAGGTCATGGCTTCATGGGTGTTCACATACTCATCAAAGTGTACACTTTAAATGCAGTGTAGTTCTTTGCATACAATTACAGTTCAATACGACTGTCAAAAATGCAGGTTGCAGGCTTTCTCTGAGAGCAGGTCTGGGGGACCCCTGTGGGCTGCCTCCTCACCGCTCCCTGGTGGGAACGTCCCCCAGCAGCACATGAGTGTCCGCCAGGCAGAGGCGGGGGGGGGAGGTGGGGGGAGGGGAGAGGCCAGCCGCTTGGAGGAGGCCTGATGTCTGAGCAGAGCCCCCCAAACAACTCCTCTCCCGGACTCTCCTGTTCTTCAACCTTCAAATACCACTTCAGTAGAAAAGTTGCCTTTTTTCTTTATACGTTTTGCTAAAAACACGTAATTATCACATGAAAAATAGAAAGTAAAATTTCCCCTAGAACAGTGGTTCTCAGCAGGGGACCACTCGGCCCCCTCTGGAGACACATTCGGCTGCCACACTTGAGGGAGGTGCTCCTGGCGTCCAGTGTGTGGGGGGCAGGGCTGCGGCTTCACACCCCGAATGCAGACAGCAGCGCCCAGCACATGGGATCCCCAGCCCCCATGCCAGC